GGCGTTTCGTGGTTTCCCCCCCCAGAAACGGTATACAGCCAGTTTCCCTTAAAAGTCCTCCACGAAGGCATCCCTCCCTTTAGGCAATACCCGTTGCTTTGCCATAATTAAATAATCCAATCCAATCCGCAGCAAGAGAAATCAAGAAGATTAAGACATTTAATTAACAACTATTACTTTCGGATATTTAAAATAAATACATTATATTAATAAACTTAAGGCATACAGAGTAAATTTATGACGGTATATTTCTTTGAGCATGGGTTATCAGTGTTCGAATGGATGAGCCCGCTAAATTTTGATAGTGAACCAGCCTGTTTCCTCATAAAGTTCTGCACGAAAGCCTTTCCCCCCTTAAGCAAATAACCATAATGTGCTTTATCCCAATTTAATAACTCAGACCCAGGTATTTCTTTAAGAAGAAATTCTGCTTGTTAAACTTTTATGTCAGCAACAGTGATAGAGGAAAACAATAGTGAAGGTTATAAATGCAACCTTATAAAGTTATGCATAGAAGAAAAAGTACAAAGAAAGCCAGATGATGTAGTTTGCATTTCATTTGGGAAAAATGCAATCAGTTTCGAACATGAAAACCCTATAAAAACATTAAATTATTTTTAAACAAATCACATCTAAATCTCTCTAACTCTTTCATTGACTCATTGTATAATCTTTCCATTTAAATAATATTTTTGTTTTTTACACATTTATAACAATATTTATATACACATTTATAACAATAATTATATACACGTGTAAAATAAATTACCCTCGGCGAAGAGGGGAAAATTAGAATTAATACAAATGTGAAAAACAATTACTAATTCATGAAGCTTATTAAATGGATATTTTATGTTTCCATTTGTTAACTGCAAACACATTCCTTTATTACCTCTTAAAAAAATTCGCAGTTATTTTCACAGTTCAGTGGTAATTTTTTATGTGCCCATTATATATTATAGCGTATACTTGCCGTTAAAGCACTCTTTATTCACAGATTTTAGTTTACAAATTTTATAATTCGATGATTTTTAGAGTTGAAAGGACTTCAGATTTACGACCATAAAAGTGATATCAATGCTACGACTTTTTTGTTTTATTTCCTTGTACGAAGTAAAGGAAGTATTTTAATCACGAAAAATTTCTAGTATCATATTTCAATGAAAAATCCATTTCAATTGCTCTCGAAACAATTTAAACGATGTTTTTGCGTGACATCTATATCTACGAACAAAATAAAGGACTCCTTTTTCCAAAACGGAATATAAAATGGGTTCACGAGAGATTTTGTTTCGTGACTTCTCTACGTACGTATGTATCTCGCATAACTCAAAAAATGAGTATCCTCAGAACATGGAAGTTTTGTATTAGGACTCCTATAACATGTAGTCGAGCACCTCCCTTTTTGGTTCAAATCGGCCATATCAGAAGTATATATATATATATATACAGTGGTGGCCAAAATTGTGGACACTTTTGAAAATTTTTATTTTTTTAACTTTGTAGGCTTATAGAAAATGTTAACTTTTCGCAAAATGCAAACTTGTATCGCCATTTTAAAGAGATTCATTACTGAATTCAATGCAAAACCAAAATTAATTTTTGCAATAAAAAGAAGTTATATGTACTTTAATATAAAATAAAATCTGATGTGTACACCACTACTCCTTGTATGGAATATTAAATTTAACGCATTTTACTTCATTTCATTTAACTTATATAAATAAACCTATACTTCGCCGAAAGCGCATAAACCACAATAGAATAAATGCATTCTTTAATTCACTTTGTTGACCATAGCGACACTCTGGCGCTAGGTTTACTTAACAGTATATATTTTCGTTCATATTATAACTCAAATGCCAAATTTTATATCATTCAAGAATTATCTAATCGTTGCCACATGTTCTGTTCAAATACTACAAAGCTAAACGATGTATAAAAAAATTAGCAACAAAACAAAAAAGAAACAGTTTTTCACAACATTGAGTATTCTCATTCAATACATAAAAACTTAAAATATCTGTATTAAAAATTACGAAGTAAATCTTGAACAATTATTTACTCGAAAAAATTACAGAAAGGATTAAGCATTATTTAATTCGCAATAATAAATGATCTTTGTTAGGCTTTGGCAACAAAATTTGAATTGGGGGCGACAAATCCACTACTCTGTTGTTTCAAATTTAAACGAGCAATGACCGCCATCAAAAACATTATTAGGCACTTAATCAACTTTAAATTTGTTGATAATTCTAAAATTATTGCATACAAATTTACTAAACGTATAAAAACCTTAACCGGAAGATAATAACAACATAATTCAACTCATTTTTAAAGCAAAAAAAATGTACAATTTACAAACATATAAGAGTAAAAAACTGAGATCACTGAGCCGGTAACAGAGTGAATATATATATAATATATTTATATACTTTTGGTGGCGGCTGATTGCAACAAATACGAGTGCAATCTACATTTATAGCAGTCCTATATACAAAATTTCAACGTTCTGAGCTATCTTTTTGAGTTATGCGAGATACGTACGTACGTACATACGTTCGTACAGCGCCACGAAAAATTCTCTCAAATTCATGTTTTATAATTTTTTTTGAAGGAAAAGAGTAAAGCAGATTCGACATTTAGCGGTCGCTGCTGCGCGATTACAATACTTGTTCTTGTTGCCTAGAACCAATCAATTTAGTAACTGCCAGTGAAGCTGACATCATGTTACACTTGAACAATTCTTATTTTGCTTGTTCTGTGGGAGACGGCTTCTTATACACCGCAATTACAAGTAGGAATTTTTGTAAAAAATTTTAATATTAGTCAAGAGCACTGACATCAAATAAAAGAGTAGATGGAACCGAAAGGATTAATATTATTGTGTTACAGAAGTGTAATCCTATGCTGAATTGCAAGACAAGTGGGTGGTTCAGTGACTACATCGGACTCCGAAGTTTTGCTTACGATATCGAGACAAATTCAAAAAAAAAATAAAAAAAGAAGGAACAGGCCGAAAAGGTTCACCACATCTATATGACAGAAGAATAAAAAGACTATGTCTCCAGATAGAAAATGTCACGGCCAGCAGAAGTGATCTGAATGATGCTGGTGTTTCTGTCAGTTCAAGGACATCAGGAGAAGATTAACAGATGTTGGATTGAGAGGTAGATTCCACGAAAAAAAGCCTTATCTTAATTTTCAGCAGCGAAAAAAAAGACTACGTGGGCAAAGGAACACATTAATTGGACAGATGATCAGTGGTCACAGTTTGTGGAGTGATGAAACTAAGATATCGTTATTCGGTAGTGATGGGGGAAAATATGTAAACGTAGAATAGGAGAAGAGACATCCTGACTGCATTCCAACTGTGAAGAACCCGTTAGTTATGTTTGGTTGGTCGTGCATGTCCGCAGATGGTATTGGTCGCCTTCATGTCATCGATGGACACTAATGCCAAAAAATACATACACTATTCTAGAACTGAAACTTCTACCTCCACATCAGAGATCCTTCCCAACAATGCTTGGTTTATTTTCAGCAGGATTCTTCTCCCTTGCCACCGGCCAAATATCGAAAGAGTGGTTCGTACAAAGAGCATTAAATTGTTGTCATGGCCAGGAAACAGTCCTGACCTCAATCCTATCGAAATTTGTAGCACCGTTTGAAAACTCTTGTCCGAATGAGGCGCCCATCATAAAAGGGAACTAATTGAACTATCAAATAAACTATAAAGGGAAACTATCAAATAAAAGGGAACTAATTGAGGCTATAATTGTTTCCTGTCACATGTAATAACGAAGAAGCTTAAACTCTTGTCAGCTCAATGAAACGTCGATGTGAAGCTGTAATCAAAAAATAAGGGTACCCTACTAAGTACTGATAACTCACTGCAGTCATCACTATCTAATGGATATCGATAACTATATCGTTTAACTTTTTTTTGTATTGCAATTAATTGAATTTTGTGTTTTGTATTGAATTCGTAATAAATTCTCTTAAAAAATATTACAAGTTGCATTTTGTGAACGTAACGTTTTCTACAAGCACAAAGTTCAAAAATAAAAATTTCCAAAAGGGTCCACAATTTTGGCCACCACTGTATATACCCACTCTGTTACTTCGCTCGGTGAGCTCAGTTTTTTTTTATTATTCTTATATGTTGGTAAATAGTGCATTTTTTGCTTTAAAAGTGATTGAATTATGTTGTTTTTCTGTTCCGGTTATAACCTTTCTTATGCCTTTAATTAATCTGCATGCAATAGTTGTAGAATTATCAACAATTTAATTAACAACAACAATCAACAATATAAAGTTATTTAAATGCGATTAAGCCTAATCGCAACTATATTTGTTTACATTTGAAACTTATCAGAATAGTGAATTAAACTTAATTTCTGTACATTCTTTTGTCGAGTGGAACCAAAAGTAAACTTTCAGTTTTGTGAACCGAAAAATCTGTTTTTTTGCCCGCTGGCCAAGTTGCTTGTTTTTGCGCAGAAATTCTAATTTTAACTGTAAAAAAAAAATTTTTTTTAACTGTTTTATTTGATTTTGGTGTTTTATGTTTTTCTATATTTTTCAATTTTTAATGAAGTTGTTTTGAATTTTTATATATTTTTGCCTTGCCGTGAAGGGAATTCTTTTGAATTCTCAGATCGTGTTTCAGCATTGATATTCAGGCAGGTTATTTCACTTCATGAAGCATATGCGATTAAAATTTAAAGCCAGATAAGAAAATAAATAAATTAGATAAAAAAATTCAAATTTAAAAAAAACTATACGCATTTTGAAAGAAACTAATACATGAGTGGAAAAATTGCGTAAAACAATTCCTGCCAAGAATCAATACAGATTAATTTGGTAGTCTTTGCATAAGACTGAAAATGAACAAAAACTAAGTGATTAAGTACAACTGTTGCGGCAAGTAAATAAGAGCTCTGTTAAAAATATCTTTGTTGATAAATTCTAACGCAATTCCTTTTCTTCCTTTCTAGATAACAAAGTTGAAAATTGACAGCAATCCGTTTGCCAAAGGTTTCCGGGATTCTTCGAGACTCACCGACTTGGAAAGGTAACATTCGTGCTTGATACTAAAAATAATTTTACTCTGCATTAATAATTACTTCAGTTAATATGACTAACTGCATTATCTATACATTTACTCTACACACTGGCCGAGCGGACAGGAAAGTGGTTAGTGACGCTAACTACTGTACCGAAGGACCCGGGTTTGAATCCTGGAGAAGGCATGGATGAAAAATTGTCTGCCCGTTTATAGGAGGCAACGATGAATCACCTATTAGGTGCTCCGTAATAAAGTTACCATCGCTTTCGGCCTTAGTACTGTCCAACGTCTATGACAACTTGTGCCCGTCATTGGAAAAAAAAAAAAAATTAACTGTGCATACTTTATTAAAAGACTTGATTTTAAAAAAAATTTGGAAAATTTTGAAGTGTTATTAAGATACTCTGGAAGTCTCAAGTGTCTCAAAAATTAGATCTGTCAATTAAGTTTAGAAAGTGAACATTCTTTACAGTATTCAGCTTAGCACTTAAGCGTATTATAAATACTTATATAGGCGTCCGACGAAAACGTCGCGGAGAAAACAGCGTAAGGAGAATCGTGGTACAAAACATCGTGGAAGAAAACATCGCAAAGAGGAAACATCGCAATTCTAAAATATCGTGGTACAAAATATCGTGGTCGAAAATAAAGCGGTTCAAAAATTTCTCAGTTTAAAAACATCTTCGTCAAAAATATCGTGGTAAAAAATAAAGTACCTACAAAGCATCGCATGACGATAACATCGCACACAGGCGTTTTCAGGTTTTGAAAGTCGTAAATAAATTTTAGTATAAAGATCATAGAGCTCAAGAAGGAAAGAGGGATTCTTTTGCTTCTACATTTCATATATTTGAACGAACTAATAGATTTTTGCTGAAGAAAATGAGAAGGAAACTTAAGCATTTAAAAACTGAAAATGAGTAGAAAATTAATGCAACTTAAAAAGCTTCATAGAATTTTAAATTTATATAGTTAATTAACAAAGGTCATTAATAAATTAAGCTGTTTTTATAAAGTTTAACTGATAATTTTTCATGAAAAATATAGTCGAAAAGGAAGATAAATAACTGCATGAGGTTACCTCTATAAAAATTGCTTAGTTAATGATCAAATTATTTTCTTTCACATTTGTTAATCTGATATTGTTCTAATGAAAATTATATATTGTTTTGTTTCCTTTTATTCTTAAACTGTCGTTAATATTTTCATGTATATAGCGTGCAATCAATTTTTTGGATGTCGATTTGTTAATTATGACGAAGGTCAGTTACATAATATGTCACTATGCGATTTAAAAAACGCATGTATGCGATGTTATCGTCATGCGATGATTTACAGATACTTTATTTTTTACCACGATTATTTCGACGACGATGTTTTGAAACTGCGATGTTTTTGAGCCGCTTTATTTTCGACCACGATATTTTGTACCACAGCATTTTAGAACTGGGATTTTTTCTCTTTGGGATGATTTCTCCCACGACGGTTTTTCCTTGCGTTGTTTTCTCCGTGACGTTTTCGGCTGTAACCCTTATATAAAAGAAATTAAGCAAAAGCCTTCTTGGAGAGGGCTTCGAAACTACTTTCGAAATGAGGCCAAATACCTACAATGAAATTGTGAATACATAAAAAATATTTACGTGTCTTCTATGGTCCTAACTATGTAATAGTATTTAACTCAAATATCTTCGGACGCTATTAGACTGTCAATCGAATTATCGCTTAGTTTAGTTTACGAGTATGCTGCAACCCTCCTAGCCAATAATAATCGGCCTCATGGTTAACGAGCACACCCACTGAGACAAACAAACAAACAAACAAAAACAGTTAAAAGAAGAAAAAAAAAAAAATATTCGCTTTGTATGAAAATATACAATAAAGTCTTAGGAAGATTTTTAATAAGCCCCTTTATCTAAGCTTAAGATGGAGAGAAGAGACAGCTTGAGCATATAACCAAAACTTCGGATATTAAAATAAGATAAAGTTGAATTTACGATTTAAAAAGCTATTGTAGCCCGAGGCTACAGATATCTGGAGGTTTAATGGCGCGATTTAACTTCGGCTAGTAGATGGCTAGTGCCGGAACATTAACTGACATATCTGGGAGATAACCTTATAACCTTCCTAAAAATAATTAGGATTAGTGAAGTAAAGAATTAAATGAAATATTTTAAAGAAAAACTGCAATCTAGTATTTTAAAAATTAGGACAAAAACTTTTTTTTTTTTTTTTTTTTTTTTTCGTAACTAATTTACTTAACATTTCTTAAAGTTGTTATTTTTGTGCTTGCCCAATTTAAAAATGAATATGCAGCAAAGAAGTTAGTTTTTTTTTTTTTTTTTTTTTTTTTTTTTTTTTTTTTTTCAATTATAGAGCACAGGTAGCTTTCTCGGAACCGTTATCTCTTTCTTGAAACAACAAGAACATTCCCTTCTTTCCATCAATTAGCTATAAAGTTGCACATATTTTGCGGAAATTTAACTTTCGGGTTGTTTATTCTCCCATCAATAAAATTCCGAGCTCCATACTCAATAACCCCATTCCGGATATGAATTCCTGGGGTATTTATAGAATTCCTTGCCAGTGTGGTTTAATTTACATTGGCCAAACTAAGAGAGCCTTGAAATTTCGCGTCAAGGAACATGAAGCATATGTTAGAAAAAAGGAAACACAGAAGTCTTCTGTTGCTCAACATTGTTGGTCCGAAAATCACACTTTCAATTTTTCTGCTGCCAAAATTAATTCAAAAAACATCTTCCATTGGAAAACTGGATTTTCTAGAGGCATTTCACATTCATAAAAATCTTTCTGTTCTAGTTAACGATCCTAATTCCAATCCAAATTTGCCTTCGGCATTTAAAGAAATTATGTTTTAGTTCTGGTTTCACCAACAGATGGCGCCACTTGCTTATTCTTGTCCAGGCTTTCTTATCTTATCTAATCATTATTTCCTATCTTCTTCATTTGCGGGTTTGCAGCTGAGGAGGGTGGTTCGGTAAAACCATCGAAACTAGTCCTGTGAAAATTTTGTAAATATAACGCTGATTTTTGTTATTTGACTTCTGGATTAGTATTTATTCGGCTTGTTATTGTATCTTAGTTATTGTGTCTTAATCAACAAGAACAAGCTTAGAATTTTGAATTATCCAAATCGAAAGAGGTATATTGTTTCGATATTTTGCAAAGTCACTTCCTGCCAGAATAAAATTTGCAAATTACGTGGGAAAACTGTGCTTCATAGTATTATTGTTGTTACTGGCTAAGGCACAAAAAGATTTCAGTGCGCAATTACAGTTTCTTCCGAATCTCTGCATATGAACTTCAGACAGAAAGGGCAGCTAATTGCAATCATTCGATTGTGAAGTAAGTACAGATAGGGTTTTAATTTTTAACAGCGTCTGTAAAGGCAGCAGTCTCACTTGCAGATCCTTAAGCGGAAATTGGATATTTTCAAATGGGACAGCTGGCAACCTTGAAATATGAAAAATTGGGAGGTTAACCCATCAAAATCCGGAGTTTCCGGGAGGTTTTCATGCTGTGCGGGGCACCATTTTAGAAGAACTCAGAATTAATTTAAATTCGCTTTATTTTAATTTAAACTCGCTTTATAACACACGATTTAATTTATTCAATTATTTATAATGATTCTGATGTAAAATATATTGATATTATGTTTTCATATTCTAAATTTTATATTCTTTAGTTACTTTTATTTTGTAATTTTCTTACTTATTGATGCTAAGAAAATACTTTGATACTACTATAAGAATACTTAACAATCAGAAGATCCGTACATCCAGTGCCGGAAAGGATAGTGTATATTTTTTACACCTTCTGTCTCTAAAAAATAAAAGAAATTTTATAGGGGCGCTAACTAAATTTGGATATTAATTCGTCACTACCAAGATCTTGCAACTAGGTACAAAGCTCCCTGTAAACTTCGTTGTATAACTGGATGCAAATTCGGCTAACAATAGGGATGTCTGTAATTCCAGTCCTGTTAAAGGCACCTTATATTTTTCATGTTTTCCCTTCTGAAATGAACCTAATAATTCGATACATTGATGTAAAATAAAATTAAATACAAATATTTACTGATTATACATTAGTTGAATCTTTACATAAGATTCTACAGAAGATTTAAAAAAATCCCATCAAATAAATTTTAATAAGGAAAATTGTGTTGAAGCTCACTTAAGGAGGGTAGAATAAAATTTGCATAATTTAAGCTTCATTAATTTAGTAATGCAACTTAGATTTATTGCTGAAGCTCATATTTATTGCAAATTTTATAGCTGAAAAAGCCTTTTACTAGTAAAAGCTAAAAAATAAAAATCGGTAGGGCGATCTATACGGAGAACGATAGATTCCTGGTAAAACCGGAAGGGTTAGCAGCTATGAAATGGTCTGATTTATTTAATTATGGCAAAGTACGTGAGGGCTATCTGTCTAGTGGATGCCTTGGTGGAGGACTTTCTAAGGGAAATTGGCTCATATTCACGCTACACACGGGAAAAACCACGAAAACACCCATGCAGCCAGGCCGTTTCCCTAGAATCGAAGCCAGGTTGGAACTAACAGTGTTCACAGACTTTACCGCTCGGCCGCTGGTGGACGCTGAGAAATGTAAATGGGGAAACTTAGCTCTTGAATCCAGATCTTTCACTGAGAGATTTTTCGTCGTCCGCCCTCCGAAAGCATCCTTGAAGGACGTCTGTCTCAGCATGCTAAGAGTCTATGGGCCTACGGGTGGAAGCAGTTCCTTTGAAGTAGATTAAACCTGTTAGATTGTACCGTCCCTGAATGTGAAGTCTTATAATTAATTACCGTTTGGTTAGTTTAAATTTAACAATCAGATATATAATAGGAAACGAATAATAATAATCTACATTAATTAGATAATATGCTGGGGGGGAAGAGTAGTTATTTTTCCATTTCCGACTCAAGTATTACGCCGTGAACCATTAAATTGTTATGCTTTTCCTCAATACTGTATCAAAAGCATC